TTTATAGTTTTAGCTTTTATATTTAAGTCTTTTATCCATTCTGAGTTAATTTTTGTACATGGTGCCAGGTAAGCATCCAACTTTGTTCTGTTATATGCAGTTATACAGTTTTCTCAGCATCATTTGTTGAAAAGATTGCCCTTTCTAATTAGATGTTCTTGACTCTCTTGTCAAAAGTCATTTGGCCAGGCTGGGGATGTTGCTCAGTTGGTGGAGTGTTTGCCTCACATGCATAAGGCCCTGAGTTCAATCTCCAGCACCACCAAAAAGAAAAAAAAATCATTTGGTGCCCCATTCCATTTTATTGGTCTATGTATCTGTTTTGATTACTGTAATTTTTGTAGTAAGTTTTGAAATCTTCAAATGTGAGACTTCAAGATTTGCTATTCTTTTCCAAGATTATTTTAGCTACTCAGAGGTCACTTTAGATTTCATATCATTTAAATTTTTTTTTAGTTATACATGGACACAATATCTGTATTTTGTTTATTTATTTTTATGTGATGCTTAGGATGGAACCCAGTGCCTCACACGTGAGAGGCAAGTACTCTGCCACCAAGCTACAACCCCAGCCTTCCATATGAATTTTAAGATTGATTTTGCTATTTCAGCAAAAGACATTATTGGGATTTTGACAGGAATTGCATTGAATCTGTCTATCGGTTTGTATAGTATTGACATTTTGGCAATATTTTAGTCTTTCAATCCATGAATATAGGGTGTCTTTCAGTGTATTTATGCCTTCCTTTAATTTCTTTCAGCAATGTTTTGTAGTTTTTAGCGTACAAGTCTTTCACCTTTTTTTAATATTTATTTTTTAGTTAATTGAACACAATACCTTTATTTACTTATTTTTATGTGGTGTTGATGATCAAACCCAGGACCTCGAACGTGATAGGCAAGTGCTCTACTGCTGAGCCACAACCCCAGCCCATGTCTTTCACCTTTTGGTTAAGTTAATTCCTAAGTATTATATTCTTTTTAATGCTTTGTAAATGGATTTTTTTTCTTAATTTTCTTTTTGGACTGGTCATTGTTGATGTATAGACATGTAACTGATTTTTGTGTATTGATTTTGTATTCTGCAAGTTTGCTTAATTTATTAAACAGCTTTGCATGTATGTTCTTGAAGTTTTTCTAGATAAAAGATGATATCTACAGAAATAATTTACTTATTTATTTCAGTTTGGAAGCTTTTATATCATTTTATTGCCTAATATTACTGAAGTTTTCATTCCCAATTTTTCTGTGTGTGTGTGTGTGTGTGTGTGTGTGTGTGTGTGTGTGTGCAGATGCATGCACACATGGGATACTGAACCCAGGACCTTGCACATGCCAGGCAAGCGCTCTTCTGCTGGACTACATCCCCAGTCCATTACTGCAGTTTTCTATCCAGGAAACAATAAGGGTTTGAAAAGGGATAGGGATGGTGAGAAATGGATGGATTTGTGACATACTTCTTAAGGCAGACAAATGGAGTTTATTAGATTGGAAGTGGGCTGTGGGAAAAAGAGAGGAATTAAGAATGGCTTCTAAGTTTATGGATGAATTAACTGGGTGAATCACATGATACCATTTGCTAGACAGGAAAGATGAGGGAAATGTAGGCTTGGGATAGGAAAAGAAAAATTTTAGCTAGGTGTAGTGGCTCGCACCTGTAATCCCAGCGGCTTGGGAGGCTGAAGCAGGAGGATCGTGAGTTCAAAGCCAGCTTCAGCAAAAGCGAGGTTCTAAACAACTCAATGAGACCCTGTCTCTAAATAAAATCCAAAATAGGGCTGGGGATGTGGCTCAGTGGTTGGGTGCCCCTGAGTTCAATCCCTGATAACCACTCCCCACAAAAAAAGGAAAATTTTTATTTAGGTCATATTAAATTTGGCCATGGTTGTGGATAAAGTAGCCAAAAAGCAAGAGAAGAGATTGGAAAGAGGGCAGAATTCAGATCTCTGCAGAAAACTCACATTTGGAGAATTGATAGAAAAAGAACCAGAAAGAAGAGGGAGACAGTTTCGATAAGATACTCCTGGTTAACTGTTCGAACCAGAAGGGAAGGAAGATGAGGACTGAGAAGACCTCGTACATGAGCAACAGGGGCGTGATCCATCGGCTCCACAGAGAATTTTCAGCACAATAAGTAAGACCTCCCCTTGGGTGGAAGTGAGAAAGCGCGTGGGTGACGGGACTACTCCAAATAACGCCACAGAGCTGTCTGGATGCAGGAGGCAGTGTTGTGTCCCTCTTGTCATGGAAACAGAAACCGTTCAGAAAAACTAAAAGCCATTTAGAGCCCCCCTGATTCTAGTCCATCACATCCCCTGATCTCTTGTGAAAGATGCTGATTAAAAGAGAGAGAGAGAGTGGAGAGTGGAGAGGAGAAAAGAGAGAGAGAAGGAGAGAGACAGGAGACAGCAGGGCAATCCCAGGGCTCTGTCTTTTAGAGGTAGTCCCTAACGGAAAGCCTTCCCCTCTTAAGAAAGAAGCCATTGCCAACACCCACACCAGCTTCCACAAAGCACAGATGACCCACTGAACAAAGTTCCTTCTTTTCTTGCTATTGGCTGACACTGCTCATCAAGCACAATCTACTGTTTCACTTTTTTTCTTAAATGATCAAGCTGAATTACTTGGAGGAGAAAGGCAGGAGAAAGACAGAAGGCAAGGCACCGAGGGCAGAGACCTGCAGGTGGGCATTTTTACTGTTGCTTTGTTAATTCATTGTTGAGAATTGTGCCTGGATTATCACTTCTTTTTTTCTTAATTTAAATGTTTTTTTTCTACCATACATATGGTAGTTTAAAAAATATTGAGAAAGTATAAAAAAAAAGGAGAAGAGAACAAAAACCATCACCAAGATATAGCTTCTATTGGCATTTGGGGACTTATTTCCTTCTCTCTCTCTCTCTCTCTCTCTCTCTCTCTCTCTCTCTCTCTCTCTCTCTCTCTGTGTGTGTGTGTGTGTGTGTGTGTGTGTGTGTTTGGTGCATGGAGTTTGATTTTCATGTTGTACCCATACAATATGGATAAGTTTATGTTCATTTCTTTGATCACAGCTTTTGTTTTTATCCATATTGCTATGAATTCTTCATAATCATAATTTTAAATTGCTACATAAATTGCATTGAGATTTATTGTACTTTACCCACGCCTTCCTCTGTTTTTGGCCACACAGCATCTTCCCTATTCTACATAGATGGAATCATTTTATTCTAGAAGATATATATATTTTTCTCACTTGGAGTCTTGCTGTGGGGGGAGAGGAGGTTAGCTTTGAAGATGTGTATTTCAGTGGTTTTGCTCAGAGGCACTGTGAGTGGAAGGTGTGGGGATGTGAGTTTGCAGACTGTTCTCTGTGGGGCCGGCAGTGTTTCTCACCTCTGGCTGCACCTTCAGCCAGAATCACCTGAATTGGAGCAGATTAGAAAACCACCCCCAGAAACTTAACCTTGGGGGATCAGTCTGTCCATCTGTAGATTTTTGTCTTCCAAAAAATTCTAAGGTGACTATAATCAGCAAAAGTTGACAGAGGTTATTTGAAATATTCTCCTGCCTTTGACACTTACCTGAAAGTAATATGTGTTAAAAGAAAAGGATGCAATTTCAGGCAAGCCATGCAAACCTGCCTCTCAATGCTACTTAAACCATGCAAAACATTAATTTGTGGGAAACAGAAGACTTGTAGAAATTTCTCTCATTTGTCTCAGACACATCAACTCTTGAGACGAGCATCTACCTGAGAGTTTTAATTTGCTAATGCTTTAAGAAGAGGGATTTGTTTCTCCTGCTTGGGAAGTTCAAAGTTAGAGAATTTAAGGCTCTAGAATGTTCAAAACAGATCAAAATTAAGCCCGGGCTCTGCTAGTACCTGCTGAGGCAGTAAGTCTTCCTGTCTTTTGCAACCTTCTCATTAAGCACAAGGTGGACATTTAGTGATCAGCCAGTCATAGGAACACCTGAGGTAAAGCAAAGGCGGGTGAGACTGGGATGATAGGTGACAGGAGGTTTCTCAGATTTTCCAGAAACACTTATCTTTTCTGGATCCCAAGTCCTCATAAAAAAACTGGAAAGAATTTCTGATTTCTCTCCCCAGGAACAGAGGACAGACAACAGGCAGCTAAACTAAGTTGAAGCATTTGCTACTGCTTTCCTAGCCTACAGCAGGGATGCCGTTTTTTTTTTTTTAATTTATCCTAACTTAATTGATAACATGTTAATCAAATTTCTTCTTGTTTTAATTACACAGAAGGGAATAGATGTTTAGTATCTTCTTTGATGAACATAAACATTCATGTAGTACTTTTCTGTTTAGAAACATGTTTACATACACCAGTTCTTTGGATCCATGAAATTGCCCTGGGTGCTAGAGG